AAAACCATAATCACAAGACAAGGTTAGTGACAAATTCAAACTCATATGGACTGAACTTGTTCGATCTTAATTTCTTGCCACCTGGCAGCACAAGGGTCTACCATTGCTTCCAAGTTGTTATGCACACAATTGAGAACTCATAGAACTCAGATACATAGTCAATTTTACCGGAATAGGCACAAAAACAAGAATTATGTCAGCATGATAGGTTACAAACCTCAAGTCATGTGCTAGTGATAAACTACAGGTTTTATTCTTGATTAGTTCTTGAAACTCTTTCAGGTTCTTTAAGACTCCCACTGTCCTATTAACATATAATTTTATCTTTGTCAAATACCATTACTTGACAACAAATATTCAAGAGTTCGTTCGGATTCTTTTCAAGACAAACACTTCACACAATTGGCCTTAGTTGGTCTTTGTTTTATCCAAAAATCACAACTTACCAATTTCAAACGTACAAGAGTAGAAAACATTTTACTCTACATTTGACAAGTGTTATAAAACTTCTTTAAGATATGTCACTCAAGTTAAAATCTATGACTCTAAGAATTGAATTGGAACGAAGTATGACTCATCTTCTCAATTTAACCATTTCAACAATTCATGACTCCTCTTCTTAGCCATAAGAATGCACTAAGATGTCTTTAGAGGATCAATTGTGATATGGTTTCATAATCATAAAGATGATCATAGAACATGATACTAAGGTACTCTCCCATCTTTTTAGATTTGAGAAACTTTTATCTTTCTGCCTAATTCGATACTTCTCATTCGTTCTGCCATACATTCAAACTTTTCCAATGTTTAAGAATTATACTTAAACTTGTAAGTATAACCATATTTACTAAACTTTAGTAAATCATGGAGAATAGTCTTATCAATCTTTGTTGTGGACTTGACCAATGCACAAGAATGTGTACTCGATCCCTTAGTCCTTTACTTGACTCACATGTACATGTGAACAAGGAATTAGTCTTAATTTTCCAAAGATGAAAATTCTCACTCATCATACAATACAACTTGCATGATTCCAACTTTCTGTCCAATTGAAACTTGTGTGATGAGAATCTTTTCTTATTTGGTAAATTTAGACACTACCACAAATGAAAGAATCAAATTCATATTTCCAATATTGCTAGAAATATACGAACATCAATTTTTCATAAATGCCATTTCAAGGAGATATAAAATAAAACAAAATTTTATTTATTTATAAAATGCAAAAAAAAAAAAAAAAAAAAAAAACTTTTTCATTACAATGCAATTACAAGTGAAAACTATGCTATTACATATTTCGTAGCAATCTATCATAACTCCTAAGTAGTAGCTCAAAAATCCGATATTTGAACAATGTGATTGAAATCCATCCTCGCGATCAGATTCAATATACTCTTCTTTTAAGCTTCCTTCCCTTTGCTTGATCCTTCAAAACATCAAAATGCAACCTAGTCACATCATGTATTAAGAATAAACAATTAGGAACTTAATAGAGTTAGATAGTGGACTTACCTGAAGCAATACCATACGTTCTGATTAAAGTTCTCAGGTAGTCAGGGAAGCTTTGATTCCAACACTACTAGAAAAAGGGCCTTTTATGACGCTCATTGTGCACCGTAAAACGCTCAGACGACGTGCAAATGCGCATCAAGGAAGGCCCTGTCATAAAGAGAGACAACGCGCATTTACGATGCGCATTTATGACGCACATTTACGACGCGCGGTCATGACACGCAATGCGTATCAAGGAAGGCCCTGTCATAAGGGAAGACGACACACATTTGCGTGTCGTAACCTTACGACGCGCGTGTTTATGACATGCAATGCGTATCAAGGAAGCCCCAGTCAAGAAAGGCCATGTCATAAATGAAGACGACACACATTTTTGCTTATCGTAATTTTAAATTTTTTTAAAAAAAATATATTTATATATTTATTAATTTATAAATTAAATTTGCATTTAATCTCTCATAATACAAAAAATACAATAAATTGCACAAAAGTTAATATCATACAAATAATCATTCCAATAGCAGACAAATGTAATACATTAAATAATCATTCCAATAGTACATTTCAACATTTTTTATATAATTAACTAAATTATTAGCCAAATTTCCTAAACTACCAACATACTTTCTATGAAGAGCATTAACACTATTCTTTTCCATCAAAAAATTCAAAACCTGCATAATTAAATTAATGTTTAATCACCTATAGGTCAATAAGGTAGGTTTAAGCAAAAGATTTTCATAATAGTAAGATTTTACTTACCACTGTTGTTAATGACATTGAAAGAAGCAGCCTAACAAAGACCCCCTCAGAAGGATTACTACCACATAACTGTTGATATTTGATACTTTATTACTAAATGAAACCAAAAACAAAGTTAAAAAGTAAACAAAATCAGAAGGTTTTAGTCAAACTTACAGAGGCTGTAATTTCAAATATTACTAAATGACATTGATTAAACCACCTGCAGATTTACCATTTTGTCCCTATGAGATTCACTACTGGAACACATTCTACAGTTTGTAAACTATAATATATATATATATATATATACAATCATTTTGAAAAGAAAGAAATTAGAAGTGGAATGTGATTGCATACGATCAAAACCAACAGTTTTACATGCCCATTTTTCCCAGTTTCTATTCACGAAACCCTAATCCATGATTTCTTGTTGGTTACAAAAGCCTAAAAATAGTAAGGCAGGCCTGCAACCAACCCATCCACATTTTTTCACATAAAATAGCTACTCATTCCTAATTACTAATATATATATATATATATATATATATATATATATATATATATATATATACACTTTAATTTTTTATGTCAAGTGATAAGAAATATGATATGTTAAAAACGAAGTGCAATGTGCACTTATTGTTATGGACTCGAGCATATAAGAGTCTTTCTTCTTTCCAATATTCCAAAGGCCTCCTTTTAATTCTGCTGCTTCGTCTCACTCCAGATGTCCAAGAAGACCCCGCTCCTATCATAATCATCCCCATTATATCATAAATAAACAAACCATAAGAAGACCATCTACAACAGGGGGGAAGAGAAGCATCAGGAAACAATTCCTAACTAACTAGATAATAATAATTATCTAATAACTCTACAGTAAACAATTCCTAACGAACTAGATAATAATAATTATCAACTCATGTGACATGTTTATAAGTTTTTGTTCCAACAAAATCAATTATTTAAAAACCATATTCATTTTTTTTAATCCAAGTAACTAACTTCATCATGATTTAAATTATTTTCCATAGGGGAATTCTTGGTATAAAAAAGGTAACACACAATTTAAATGTGTATAATTTAGAGTTTTAACTAACTAGGTTAGGACTTCAAAGGTAATCACATAAAGAACAAGTCAACTGTAATGACTGAAAAAACTGAAATATAAGAATTTTTTTTGGAAATTTTCCCTTTATTATTTATATATTAACGATATATATAAGACAAAGATGAAAGGTTCTGGTGGTTTCAATCCGACCCATAAATTGTTTACTAACAATTGTATCATGATATTTTTATTGATTTTTATGGCATCTTATTTTGTATAAATAATAATCCATGATCTCATTACATGACATGAAACGTATAAATTGGTTTGTCTAACTTCTTGTATTGACCCCACTTGGAATCGGGTGGTTCCAGTTCTATACTCCTACGGCTGAAAACAATGGTCGGCCCAATTTACACAACCATTATTCCACTAAACGACCCTACAATGATCACACATTACAATGAGAAGCTTAACTGATCCAAGCACACCAGAAATCTGAGATGCTTAAAGATGTGTGTGTGCATACCTGTTCTTATAGCGATGGCAACCATGGAGGTGTGGTACGGTGTATATTCTGGTGAAAAAAAACAATAATTTGGGTGCGTGGGTCCATATGTCGAAGGAAGAAAGAATTAAAGGAAGATTAGCCCTCATAAAATTGACGGTTTTAAAGTGGAACCAATGGGTAATAAAAGGGAAACTAATGTGCAGGAAAGTACAACACAAAAGAGATGTTGCTTGTGGAAGTGCCTTAAAATTCAGAAAATAGGCATGGGTCAAGGGAATCCAAGACAGTCAAGACACGTGGGTACAACATTAAAAATATAATAAAATGGTCAAGTATCTAATATGCATGCAAAGGTATTATATGTGGTTGGTTGTTTTTGTCATGAACCAGAGCATACAATCCACAAGGAAGAAAAGGTGAAACCTTGATTTTGTATGATTGTTGTTTAAAAGTGTGAACCTCCTTTTTACAGAGACAAAAGAAAAAAAGGTCTCCATGTATGGTGTATTAGGTCAAGTGAAAAGATCTTGGTCTAAATAATGGTTGTTTGGTTGATGTATGACGTAAAACATGGTTGCTTCTATGGATGATAATCTCCATGGGAAAGTCAAGAAAACTGATGAAGATTGATTGATTGATTGATTGCTGCAAGATTAATGGGTGTGGTCTCTAGTATTTTAAATAGTCTAGCTTAAGGGGGCATGTTAAAGTTATAAGCTAAACTTCATTAATAGCATTTATTAGGTATTAAGGTATTGCCGTTAATATTTGAACAATTGTGTTGGTTTGAATCAGAATGGTGTGAACCGTTGCATTAGTTAGGAGACTTTGTAACTGTCAAATGACAGTTATGCTATAAGAGTATATATATGTATGTAAATATTATGTAAAGGCTATTGGGTTATATCAATAAAAAAGGTCTTTGTTTGTGTACAAACCTATCCTCTTGTTGATTCTCTTTCTCTTATCTTTTCTGCAAATTTGTGTTAATTTATGCTTGATTCCAACAGAAATGGTAATGGAATGAGTCATCCCATTCCTTTGTTGACTAAATCATACCAAACACTATAAATGACCTACCTTAACAAAAGCAGGAACCCATTTTGTTTTCTCAATGTTTTCAAGTAATTGATCTTTCAACTTTTCCATTGCAACAAACCTTGACCAAGAAACATGAATAAACTAATCATGATACCACGTTATCCCACTAAAGATAATAAAGATGAGAAGGACATTCATGTCTTTTGCAGAAAAGATAAGTAAAAAAGATGTACCAGCTAGGAACTGCTCTGTAGATGAGAGGGGTATCATATCTCCAACAAAAATGATATGAATGTGTAAAGCTTCCAGATTTGACCAGTCTGCCTTTATCCTGCATACATCCATAACAAAAGGTTAGGAATAATCATTTTACATAAATTCCCCTGTTGATAATTATATAACATTCAACTATTCTTGCCTTCACTGCTTGAATGATATCTTTATCTGCCTCTTTGACATATCGACCAATGAAATCGATAACTTTTTCCTATAAAGCAGCCATCATCATCAACTACCATAACTAGATTTTCTCCCTGGATATACAAGAAAAAGTATAATTTGGTTATGGGAAAAAAGATATAAATAAAGGTACAATGCATATGTAATCATGTCTGCTTTCTTTCCGAGGGGTTCTACATAGCAACCCACAACTTGAACCTAAAAAGAAAAAAAAACAAGAAAGTTATAATTTTATGAGATAAGTAGTAGAAATCAGTGAGTGTAAATTGGTAAAAGTTGTAAATTTTCTTACATGTGGGGGGCATTTTTTGGTAAGATGGGATAATATTGTTTCCTTGATTACCTCCAACAGAGACTTGCGCTGAAATTATGTAGACGGTCGTTATTTGGGTAGAGAAGAAGGTTGATTTCTTTGATTTGATTTGAATAAATACCTTATCATCTTGGTCCTTTTCTGCAAGATTGATCATATAATCTAATGCCATCATGAAGCCTGATTCCATCTGATCAACTTGTTTTCCAATCACGCCTTGTGCAGCCAACAACACCCTAACTCCTCAGATTCTTCATCCATTTGGTCATCTTCCAACTGTTGTATAAATAGACATTTGGTTGAATTGCAATTACAATGGTTATGAAATGAAATGGTCTCCAAATCAATTCTACGAAGTCAAATGCTTGACGATTTGGGTAAAATCGAAGTATAAGTATATTTTTTTCATGTGCCCACCAAATGACTGATGAAATGCCACAACGAGAGAAATTCAATAAATTAAGGAATTTGAAGTTGGAGTTAAAGCATGTCATACAAGGTTAGCCATCTCTTCAAGAACAGACGTAACCTGTTTACCTCCTTTAAGGAGATCTTCATACTGAGCAGGACTCCAAGTACTCCAAGTACAAGTTTTTAGCTTAAGACCTGATGCAACAAAATGGATTACACAGTTTATCAGATTACACCGGATGCAGCAAAAGGGAGCAACATATAGGACTATGTTTTGTGGATCTGGGATTCAAAAACACAAACCCAATGTTTCATTCTTTAATCTTGTGGAATAATGGGGCTTTATTGGTGGTGGTGGTGAACCAGAGAGAAAACGAGGGGTGGTGGGTGCCTAGGTTGTTGTTGAATAGTAGAGAGAGAGAGAGAGAGAGAGAGAGAGAGACTTGTAGTTGGTCGTGTATTACCTGCATCAAATTGAAATTAAGGGAATGTTGATTTTATAAGATGACTTTGAATCGACCTAGGTTTTCCCGTACTTGTGTTCGAAAAACCATTTGTTGTGGTTAATGGAAGAGAGAGAGAGAGAGAGAGAGAGAGAGAGATTTGTTACAGATAGGGCGGAGGCAGTGAACGAGATGTTTGATGATACTGATAAGAAGGAGATCGAGTAGATGTTTGATGATACTGAAGATGAAGATGAAGGACCTAGGGCTTTTTCTTGCTAAGTAGAAGAGGCGGGGGATTAATTTTTGGGATTCAATAGGCGGGGGTAATTTTCGTCAATTTCATTTCCCACCTAAAACGCGTGTTTCACTTAAAAATTATAAAGTGACACGTTTACATGACGCACATTTTATGAAAGGCGCCCTCCTCATTTTTTTTTCTTTTCTGACACTAATTTTAGGGCGCGCACAAACGCATGCCCTCTATCCTTCAAAGTTTGAAAAACTGACATTATCTTTTAGGGAACTTACAAATGCGCGTCGTCTATCATCGAGTGTCATTGTTTGCGCGTCATTAAAGGGCTTTTTTCTTGTAGTGCAATGTCCCTTTCTTTGGTAATAGAAACACATAGACTCATTTGGTGCAATCTCAGTACTGGCATTTCTCTTATGATCAACGTCTTTGATCATGGCCAATTCCCTTCATTTAGGAGAAGGAATCATTTATGGGATTTCCATGTTAGCTTGAGAGACTGACCTTCTTATCAAATTTTCTTGACCATTGCGCCAAATCATTGATGATTCAGCAACAATTAGAAAATAGGTAAGATCTATTAGGGTCATATCGTGATCTGTCACATTGTAGTTTTTAACGAACTCACTATTTTATTCGGGAAGTGGCTGAAGAACCCAGTCAATAGCCAACTTCCTTAGGAAAACGACACCCAACAATATTAGCCTATCAATGTGCGCCTTCATCTCTAATACATGTGCATACACTGGCCTTCCATCTTTGTGTTTTCTATCCAATTGGACTTGAGTGATCCTGAACTTTTTAAGTCTTCGAGCTTGTGGTTCGGGGAGAATAATTGGAGGAGGTGGAGGAAGAGAAGTACGATTTCCTTGATCCAATTGCGGGACATCATCTTCATTAGGAAAGCTTGTTCCAAGAGATTTGGGATGATCATAGTTGTCTGATCTAGACATCTACAATGGGAGAAATTTCAAGTTAGTTGAATTAAGTCCTTAATATAACACCCAATATAAAATATTAAGGCTAAGACCCAACACAATATTTTATAACTTGGAAGAGGGATGCCGTAATCCAAGCTATAAAATATTTGAAGGTCGGTAAATGACGATTTACCAATTTCCACCACGAAAAACGAAAAAGAATTTTAGGTCTTAAGTGAATTGAAACTCCTAGATCCTTTGAGATTTATTGAACTTTTCAATGGCATGTTTAAATCTCGATTGTGCACTCTCAAGTTTATGACTGGGATGCCGAGGATCACAAACAAGGTGTGAATAACCATGCAAATTAACTTGGTAGCCTTAATTTTTTTTATCACCTAATCGATGTGCTGGTTAACCACATACGCTCCACCAATCTATGATAAACATTAAGATACCCTTTTCCACTCTTACTAGTCCATGTTAGTGTCTCGGTTAACCACACACGCTCCACCAATGACTTAGTAAGGTACAAAGTGCAATTTCATGGGTTAGCACCAAATTCACATTTTCCTAGAGTAACTAAGATTGTGAATTTATAAGTGTTTAGTTGCTTTATATATATCATTATACTTTTAATGAAGGGAAAATTAGAGTCCTATACTACCCGTTTGGCTAACAACCCTCCATCAGTCAAGGAAGCGGTGGGTGAGAGTGAACACCCATTAAACTATCATTTTATAAGTAGTAACCGTATATAAATATTAAACCCATGGTTGTAGAAATCGGGATTAATCAACGATTAATTGTGGATTAATCGTTTGGTGTTCTCCAACCGTCGATGATTAAGGCATTAATCGGAAATCTAGGATTAATCGGGTTTGGCGGGATTAATCGCCCTTGGCGGGATTAATTGGTCAACAAAAGTCAAAAAAATTGAAAAAAGTCAAAAAAAGTCAAAAAATGTCCAAAAATTTTTTAAAAATTCAAAAAACCAACTTTCTTTTTTTACTCCAAAATTTTCAAATTTTCGAATATTATACCAAAATGTTCATATTTTCGTATTTTCAATTTTCCAAATTACAATTTTTCTTATTTTCTAATTTTGAAGTACTTTTTTTTCTTAAGATATATTAATATTTAATTAATTTTAATATTTTATTAATAATCTATGGTCCCCGATTAATCCTCGATTAATCCCCTCCAAGACCGATTAATCCCTTAACACCAGTCGACCGTCGAGCTACCGTCAAACGATTTTTACAACCTTGACTATAATATTATAATATTATAAGGGTTGAACTTTAAACTACTTAAAATTCTAGGGTTTGGAACTAAAGTATTCAAAAGTGTAACTTTACAAATTCCAAAACTTGAGGGCATGTTTTGAACAATTCTAAAACTTTTGGAATCTATAACATATGAGTTTAATATGGATTTTAATGGCAAGACTCTTCAAAATCCAATAATCCATAACTTGAAGACAAGTTATGGATATCATAAAACAATTTATGGGAAAAACTCTTCAAATACATAACTCATGACATTTAAAGACTCATTAACAAGAAAGACTTTTGGTTTTCCATAACTTGAGGACAAGTTATGGAATCCATTAAAGGACATTTAGATCATCTAATAAACAAACAAACATGTCAAGAAAAACTATGATCTAGATTAAACTCACATGAACAAGACAATTCAAATCAAACAATTTTCATGCAACTAGCCTAACCATTAAACTAATACAAAATATGAAACTTTTGAAAATTATCTTTTGAATTGGATTAGAATGATCATTTACACATCAAAAACAAGTTTGTGAGTTAAAAAAAATAGCTTAGGGTAATGATTCTAGTCCAATTCCAGCCTTAAGAGTCGAAAATCCGCACTCTCGGCCTTCAACTCGTCTAGTGTATGAACAAACTCGGCGAGTTGGTCAGATTTTGCCTTGGGTTCGGTGAGTCCACTATTCAGAAAGCCAGTTTTTCAATTTCTTAGCAATTGCATCAAGTATAATTGAAAACCAAGCATTGGCTCTGATACCACTGATGGGTTTTGAGCATTCTAACACTCCTATGATGTGCATGCAACCCTATGTGCCTTGGATCTATGTTTTCACTATTATACATGCAAATATACTACAAAAGACTAGTTAGATGACATACCTTTTTGATGGAGCTTGAATTCTTAAACATTTAAGAGCTTATCCCCATTAGTGTGGAAGCCTCAAATGGAATCACACAACACCACCAACAAATGGAATAACTTGAGAAGAAGGTTACTTTGGTTCTCCCTATGGAAATTGGCCCTTTCCCTCACTTTGTGTATCCACTAGTCCCATTTCATGAACCATGGGATCCTTTATATAGTGTAGCTCATTAGGCTTACACCATGTAAACCCTAATGTGCATGACTTTCCATTTCCTTCATGATCCATGGGTTTTAACCTCCATGGAGTATCCATGGGTTAAGCCCAGCATAAAGGACAATGGATCACATGCCCACATATATAAGAATGAATGATTTACATAATCAATCCCCATATATTTAATTAGTCTCTTTTGATCACAAAATTAATTCCAAATTAATTCTTGATCAATACTAATTTAATAATACGATTTCATATTAATATATTAGAACTTATAATATATTAATATAAATCATAAATAACCTTTTCTCACTTGTCTATCTAATTGTTCCGATGCCATGCAACCCAAATGGACTATGCTACTCTCGGGTCGAGAACATACCAATAATAATTATGGGCTTAGACATCTAATCCAACAAGATTGAGATAGAGATTCAAACTAGGGAGAAGAGACCGGCCCCTGAGCAGTCGCATCCAACGCCGTAGTGGTTCAAAACCACTGATTGTAGGTCTGGGGTTAGCGAGGCCACACTTGTGGGAAGCGCGGGAAGGTTCATGATAGGGCTTGTCGATCAAGAGGTGTATGCCACAAATGTGGCACAGAGGGGCACTATGTGAGGGATTGCCGCTAGTTAACCCCTGTCCAAAGTACTAGGATTTGTTATCATTATGATTAGATTGGCCATGTAAAGGTCAACTGTTTGTCGCTCACCTCCAAGCCGGTGCAGGCCCCCACTTCAGCTTCTCTGAGGATTACATATGGGCACTACGGGAAGGCGGAGACCCCGAGAGCTC